CTGTCACATTGTTAGCGAAAACTACATGGTAGGAATGCGGCCGATCATAGAAATCAAGGGCATTGACGATGGGAAGAATATGTTCCCACAACTCCGGATCAGAATGATAGGCCAATATGTTCACTTCTCCTCTTCCCCCAACCTATAAAATTACCATATATAACTCACAACTTATAAATCTACTAGGCGTAATTTACTCATGAAGTAAAAAAAAAATTATCTTACCTCATCGTCATCATGATCACCACCATCATCATCATGATCATGATCACCTCCATCATCATCATGATCACCACCATCATCACCATCATCACCATCATCATCATCATCATCATCATCATCTCCGTTCTGGTTCTCAGGAACTGCTTCTATATCAAGATTCAAATAAATTGATGTAGGTTTATTCATAAAACTGGAAACAACCCAAATCAAGTCAAGCCACGAGGTAAGCTCCAAATTCAGACTAGTATAATAATGTGAAATGAATGCAGAGTGGTGTATTAATTTCTCGTTAATCTTGTCGGCTATGTCCCATTGGATGTCTATCATTTGGTTTTTGTCGGCGAGACGCATGATCAGATTTGTGTCGTTGAGGCGAAAGCGATGTCATGGGACCAGACGGTTGAGTTTACCTCAATCATCTACTTATCTAGTCAGCTTGAAGTTTGTTCTTTTATTTGTAAATGTTGTGTGTAGTTTGTAGTATATATTTTTAATTTCGGAGAATGCTAACTTGTGATTTTATTATAAAATAGATTGAAAATTATTTCCCGACATGAACTTGAAGTGGTAACATTGACACCGAAAAACTTTGAATACAATGTTGAAACTATAAATATGTTGGAATTTCAACGTATTGATGAAGCATGTGAGTCTAGAGGCGGTGATTTACCACCCATTGAATGGCTATGAGAAATTGGATGGGTACATGTGCTTGTATAGTACGGATGAGGTGATGACTTGCTTCTTAACAATGATACGGATGTTAGGGGTGATAATGATGATGATGAGGTAGTGTAATTTTCAATTCATGAGTACATTTTATAGTTTATTAAGTGCATTGTCTTAATTTATTATCATAGATTTATAATTTTAGAGTTACAATTGATGATGAAAATTGTTTCACCGAACAATGAGGGTCCCAAGATGGTTACAATTGTTAGAGTACCAATTAATAAGGGAAACCAGAATAACGATGAACATATCGGACAACCATTGTTTTCAATAGTTGGAGGATGATGTTGTTCCATTTCTCGTTAATCTTGCCGACTATATCCAACCATGTGTTTACCATTTTATTTTTACCGAAGAGACGTATGATTACATATGTGTTTTTGAGGTTAAAATGATGTCATGTGCTTGTATAGTATGAATGAGGTGATGACTTACTTCTTAACAATGATACGGATGGAGGGGTGATAATGATGACGATGAGGTAGTGTAATTTTCAATTCATAAGTAAATTTTATAGTTTATTAAGTTCATTGTCTTAATTTATTATCATAGATTTATAATTTTAGAGTTACAATTGATGATGAAAATTGTTTTACCGAACAATGAGGGTCCCAAGATGGTTACAATTGTTAGAGTACCAATTAATAAGGAAAAACACAATAGAGATGAACATATCGGACAACCATTATTTTCAATAGTTGGAGGATGATGTTGTTCCATTTCTCTTTAATCTTGCCGACTATATCCCATCATGTGTCTATCATTTTATTTTTACCGAAGAGACGTATGATTACATATGTGTTTTTGAGGTGAAAACGATGTCATGGAAGCAATTGGTTGAGTTTACATCGATCATATATGTTTCTAGTCACTTTGAAGTAAGTTTGTTCTTTTATTTGTAAATGGTGCGTGTAGTTTAGTAATATATATATTTTTTATTCCCGATCATGCTAATTTATGATTTTATTATAAAATAGGTTGAAAATTGTTTCCCAGAATGAACTTGAAGTGGTTAGATTTGCACTAAACAACTTTGAATACAATGTTGAAACTATAGATATGTTGCAATTTTAACATATTGAAGAGATTGAGGATGTTATTCTATAGATGGTGAGAGACCACACATTGAATGGCTTCGAGCCACCGGATGGGTACATGTGTTAGTACATTACGGATAGCGTGATTAAATACATATTTGGTATGCATTATCTTCTCATATGAGCCTTCTTTTGGTTATATATTCAGATCTTTCTTGATTGACTTAATAGGAATGGATGCCCTTGTATTGTATTCACATATGCCATTTCAGAATAATATCATTTCTTCAATAGAGGTTAATTATGATGGTGGTCATGATGATCAAGCATATGAGTATAAATTATAGTTTATTATACGGCTAGTAGATTTATAATTTGTGAGTTACATTTGATAATTTTAAATGTTGAGAATGGTTTGGTTTGCGTGGTTAGAGAAACATTTGATGGTATTGTCCACAACATAGGAAATGTGAACATATTGGACTCTCTATATGTTCAACTATTGTTGCTTTTTATTGTTTTCATACTCAACAACCTTGCTCGCTATGACCGGCTGGATGCCTATAATATATCTTTTGTCACAATACGCATGAGTTCTTGACTTTGAAAGAAGCGGTTGCAATGACATGGGAGCAACTCGTTGAGTTTGTATTAAAGATTTATGCTAGTTATTAGTTTCTCGTAATTCTTATTTTATTTTTTCATAGCATTTAGTATAATATACTTTTAATTATGGCATGTCAACTAATGAAATTTGTTTAACATGATGAACTTGGGTGGTTAGGGTGACACAACAAGATCTGGATCACCACGACATAGACATGGTCAATAAATTTGAATTTCAGAATGGAGCAATGGAGGAGGCTATTCTAACGATGTTGGCAAACCATCCATTGAATGGATACACGTTCATGTATAGCTCCACTCCCATGATGGCGGACTCTTTGACGAGACAACAATTGGCTGAGAGGTCGTGATAGTGGGCCTAAAAATATATAACTGTGTTTGTAGTAGATGAGGACAATTCTACTGGTTATTCTTGTGTTACTATCGCAGATGAGGATGACTAGTGTTACAACAACATAGATTAGTAAAAAAAAAAAAAAAACCGAATTAGGACAAATGATGAGAAAGAAAGGTTCACCTTAGAGAGAGTGTCCACTGAATATATAAAAATAGACATACCAGATTCAGTAAAATTCATACTTTAATCATTAGGCCTCCTCGAACTCGAAGAAAAGCATTCCATTATGACAGATAGATCTAGGTTCCTGAAGTAGTTACTATTGCAAGCCTTAGTAGTATACATATATAATTCATAGTTACAACTGATGATGAAAATTGTTTCACCGAAGGAGGAGGGTCCTAAGATGGTCACGGTTGTTAAACTGAAAATTGACGAGGAAGAACACTATAGAGCTAAACATATCAGACACATTGTTTTCAATAGTTGATGGGTGATGTTGTTCTATTTCTAATTAATCTTGTTAGATATATCCCACAAAATGCCTATCATTTTATTTTTGCCGACGGGACGCATGATTACGTATGTGATGTTGAGGCAAAAGCAATGTCATGGGAGCAGACAATTGAGTTTACATAATTTATCTACGTATCTGGCCAGTTTGAAGTTTGTTATTTTATTTGTAAATGGTGCGTGTAGTTTAGTAGTATATATTTTTAATTTCGGAGCATGCTAACTTGTGATTATATTATAAAATAGGTTGAAAATTGTTTCCCGGGATGAACTTGAAGTGGTTAGATTGACATCGGAAAACTTTGAAGACAATGTGGAAAATATAGATATGTTGGAATTTCAACATATTGATAAAACATGTGAGTCTAGAGACGGTGATTTACCATCCACTGATTGACTATAAGCAACCGGATGGGTACATGTGCTTGTATGGTATGATGGTGTGATGGCTGACTCCTTGACAATGTAGTGGACGCGAGGGGTGATAATGAGGATGATGAGGTAGCATAATTTTCTAATTCATGAGTAAATTTTAAAGTTTATTATGTGCATAATCTTTATTTATTAGTATAGATTTATAATTTTAGAGTGACAATTGATGAGGAAGAACACAATAAACATGAACATATCGGACAACCATTGTTTTCAATAGTTAGTGGATTATGTTGTTCAATTTCTCGTTAATTATGCCGGCTATGTTCCACCGGATGTCTACCATTTTGTTTTCACTGACGAGCCGCATGATTACATGTGTGTTGTTGAGGTGAAAACGATGTCATGGGAGTAGGTTGTTGAGTTTACATTGATCATTTAAGTTTTTGGTCACTTTGAAGTAAGTTTGTTCTTTTATTTGTAAATGGTGCGTGTAGTTTAGTAATATATATTTTTAATTCCCGGACATGCTAACTTATGATTTAATTATAAAATACCAAGAATGAACTTGAAGACATATTGAAGAGATTGAGGACGCGATTCCAGAGATGTTGAAAGACCATCCATTGAATGTCTATGAGCAACTGGATGGGTACATGTACTAGCATAGTACGGATGGCGTGATTAAATACGTATTTGGTATGTATTATTTTTTCATATAAGCTTTCTTTTGATTACATATTCATATCTTTCTTGACTGTCTTGATGGAAATGGATGCCGTTGTTTTATATTCACATATGCAATTTCAAAATGCTGCCCTTTATTCTTTATTGGTTTATCATAATGATGCTCATAGCTCACATATTAGTATACATAGCATCCAAGGATTTCTGCTTTTGTATGAAATCCTTTGAAATCCAAAGGGGGGGAGGTTGGAGAATCATGACTTTGCTATGACACAATTTTAAGTAAAATGTCTTTTCGTGTAACTTTGATGAATGTGTGGAGTTGAAACCATGCATGCATAACAGTTTCAGTTCTGCTATCAGATCCCCTCCCCAACCTACCTACCCAAGCTAGTAATACATAGGCATGATTCATGAAAGACTCATATTTGTGCGTTACCATGCATGCTTTCTCCATTGTAGGTAATGTGAAGAAATCCATCTTCATCCTTATTTTCCTCATCGATTGTAGACATAAAAGCACCTGTAACATTGGATTGATGAATTGTTACAACTACAACTTTGAGAACAAGATATTATTATGCCTAAAACTAAAATGAGTTGCAACCAGTTTTTTTTGGGTCCCGATATTTTCGCAACATTCCATTTATATTTCGTCAATTTATCGAAAATATCCTCGATAATATCGCCGAAATATTGGGACCGAAATTTTCGTTCAAATTCAATCTGAAATGGTCAAAATATCGTGATATTATCGAAATTATCGATAATATCGCGATATGAACTTTCAAAAATGAAATAAATCATTTCAACTCACGCACATAGGGGTTCAAACCCCTCCCCCTATATTGTTGACCAAATATTTAATTACTTAATATAATTTATTTCTTTCCTATTTCATCCATTTAATGTTATTGCTTATTTTATTATTCATTATAAGTACTTACATTACTAAATTCCCCTTCAAATTGTTGCTTAATTACTTAAATCTCTATAATCATTTTCTTTATTTCCTATTTAATTCTTCCTTGGATAACTTTATTTATGTTCTTAGTTAATTTTCAATCTTCATTATTATGTTTTAAGCATGGTAGAGTGCTTAATTTTCATGACAAATCAAGTTGGTTTACATTTTTAATTATTTTTCAATTTTTGATAAATAATAAATATAAGAACGTGTACCATGTCATGATGTCCAGTGAATAACGTGAAATAAAGTTACTCATGTATCTTACCATGCAATTTATAAAGTGTAAAATATTGTAGTAAAAATGATAAATAAATTACTATAGGGTGTTTAATTTTCTTTCATTAATTACTCTGAATTTTCTAAGTCACATAGTTTGTCAGCTCGCAATATAATCAACTTAAATCACTCAAACCTACTATGCAATGCATTTCCTTCAAATATTTTGTGTTAAAATAATAGATGATTGACTAAATAAACTTTTTACAAAGTTTCATTAAAAATTTCCATGTTTTTATCATAATTTCCGTGGTTTTTATCTAATTTTAATCGATATCAATATTTTCCCGATATTTCCATCGACATTTCCGTGTTTTTGAACCACCGATATTTCCGAAACCCTCGATATTTAAGACCTTGGTTGCAACTCACTAGTGAGAGGTTCAGTGTTCTTGAAAAAGACAAATATATATAGGCTTTTTTCTGCTGAGCCTGATAGTGATATGAATAAAATCAACAAATTCTCGGTGATATGAATAAAATCAACAAATTCTCGAATAGGCATATCACCATAGACAAGAAATCTGCAGTCAGAAAAACAGGATTGACAATAAAACTATCTGAGAACCCCTTCATTTAAGATAAGCTACGAACAGCAATGAACTTCGAGTTTTCCTATGTAGTATTAAATATGTTTCCCTCTTCCATGTACTAATATTGAGTATAAGATTACTTGGTTGGCAGACTTGGCCACTTAGGTAACAAATTCATGCAAACCATTATAATAAAGACCATTCGTAACCAACCCTAGAACTTCACCTAATGTACTGAAATGTTTTCTCCCACAACCTTTTTTTCTTTTGTTAAAATGAAACTGTGTAGGAACGATACACATGACTAGATCCTATTTGTGTGCATATATATTGCACGAGCACATTAAAATGCACAACTGATGCAACGAAAACATAAGAAGCTATGAACACAAATGAACTTAGAGTTTGCCTTTCTTTGTAGTAATAAGTAGGTTTTCCTCTCTGTATAAATCTTATATCCAGTTATGGAATATGAAAATTACTTGGTAGGAAGCCTTTGCCACGTAGTTAATCAATTCATTCAAACCTTCACCATTAGGACCATTCCCTTACCACTCCTACAACTTCACCTAATGCAGTGAAAATTTTTCCCCACACAATATATATAAATATATATTGGAAAAGTGCAACTCTAAATGAACACATCATGAGTCATGACTAGATCCTATGGATGCGCTATAGATTGCATGTACGCATTAAAATTCACAACTCACAATTTAAACCTAACAATTATGGGGTCATGCTTTCAAATTTTATTTTTTCCTCCTTTCCCTTTATTTTTTCCTGACCAATTTCAAGACATATATCAAAAGCATAAATGAAATGAGAACAATTCTATTTGAATGTACAAACACAAATCAACATAATTAAAGTACAAGGGAATTCGAAACTAACTTCTCCCCGTCCATGTCAGGAATGTCACTACTTGCATCCTTCTTCAAAATCACCTGAATGAAAGCTCAAGTTAGAATAGAGGATATCTACTGAATGCATAGGAAGTAAACATATTTGATGCAGTGAAATTCTTACTGGTATGCGATTTGGGTGTGTCTCCCTCAAATAACGAGCATCTAAACAAGGACTATGGTCTTTGTGGCCATTCATTTGATTCCTTATTATCCTGTATCAAACGCGTAAATGAAAAAAAAAAGAAAAAAGAAAAAAAAAAAGAATCCCATTCCAGTAAAATCAAGATAAGCAAAGCACGAGTGAATCGAAAACTAACCTCCTCCGGGGGCTACCACGAATGTCAGTCTTCAAAGCCTTGTACACAATCACTCAAATTAGAATAGCACATCCATCATATGCAAAGGACGTAAACATATTTGATTCAGTGAATTTCTTACCAAAATAAGGGCATTGAAATCAGAAGGCTCTAGATAAGTAATGGGCCATGGGCAAACATACGCCAATATTTTCCTTCCTTTTCTTGGTGATTTTCTGAACACATATCAAAAGCATAAATGAAAAGGAAACAATCTTTTCCCATTGGAGCTATACAAACGAAGATTTTAAAGCATAAATGAAAAGGAAACAATCTTTTCACATTGGAGCGATACAAACGAAGATTTTAAAGCACAAGGAAATAGGAAACTAACTTCTTTTTCCCAATGTCAGGAATGTCAATGGTTGCACCATTCTCAACAATCATCTGCATAGAGGCTCAAATCAGAACAGAGTATATGCCCCCAGTGAATGTTTAGGAACTAAACAAATCTTATTCAGTGAAAGTCTTACCGGGGTCCGATGTGGATTGTTCTCTTCTGTTTGGGTCATTCCTAAAACATGTTAGCCCAAAAAATCAGTAGAAAATAGATGAGAAAGAAAACTTAGACAAAAACTAATCGGAAATTTCCGAAATAAATTCTGCATCTACGAAATTTTGAACAAATATTTAAAGAACTACATTGACCATGTAATTAATCCAAAAAAAGAAGGAAACATCAAAACCATGGTGAAATGCACGCTACAGCTCTCTGCCAATTTCTAACAAGGAAACATCAAAACCAACCACATACGAAATTTTGTTACCTAGAAATTAACTCACAACATCAAAGGTGAGGAAAAAGTTGTTGGTGGAAGTATTTCGCGAAAACATAACACACCAAAGATCTCGATTAGGGTTTCTGTAGTTGTGAACTGGGAAAACAACAAAGGATCAAAATCAATGAAAGGGAGAGAGAATTATATATATCACCTTTTTAGTCGGCGTCTCTCTCTCTCTCTCTCTCTCTCTCTTATTATTATTACTATTCTGTCTGGCCACAATGGGAAACGATTCGATTAGGGTTTGGCAATTGGTATTTCATGAAAAAAACCAGACATTTGAATCTTTCTCTATTTATATAACGTTTTAGGCGGCGTGTTTCATGTCCGCTTCACAACCTTTTGTTTTGTTTTTGTTTTTTTTGACAAAATTTGTAAAAATAAGTGGTTGTATTGTATTGGTATTGATTATTGAATATAAATTTTGAAAAAAAAAAATTGGTGGAATTAAAAGGTTTTTTTTTTATTCTTTCAAGAAACTAAAATGGACTGAGCTGAATTTACCTTATTAATTAAATGAACTAAAACGGCACGAGTGAACTTTCACAAGCCCAATCCCTTTTTGTATATATTTTTTGTCCATTTTACCATGCACAATAATTCAAGTACCATACTGGTAAATCACATATATGTTATTTGAAAAACCTACATCTAAAATACAAAACAGTTTTGAGGTGTCCGCAACTACAAAACATTTTCTTTTGTTTTACTCCCTTTTACTAAATTTAATTTAAACATCTATATATATAAAGCAAAAGGTAGAGAATGGTGAAACATTCAAAATACCAGAAAATGCCCTTGGTTAATGCAAACATTAAAAATTGAAATTATTAATTAAATAAGGATAATATGGTAAATTCACACTTTTTCATATTAAAAAAATAAAAATGAAAAGAAAAATCAAATAATGGATTCTATTTTTATGGAACACAATTATCCATTATCTTTTTTAATTCTAAAATAAAATTTTAAATTTAAAAAAAAAACCTCTTGTGCGTGCAGAGAGGCTAGTATTGTTAATGTACCAATTTATCTTTATTTAATAGAATATCTTCTCTTTTAATATTTTTTTATTAACATAGTAGAATATTTGAGATTTTGAATGTTTCACCTTTCTGCCTTTATATAGATAGACGAATACAGAAAAATCAAAACAATTTCGTAATACAAATTTTTTACATGTATGTAATTTATCATATGGGACATAAATTGGAAAAAAAAACACTTGAAAACATATATATATATATATATATATGGGCTTCTTAGATCTAGGTCCACAACGATTAGCTATCATTGGGTTTAGTCCTCGCGGTTTTAGTTTTAGATGCAGGTCCTTTTACATTTATTACTTTTTTGTTGTGTCAATTTTACCCTTTGAGGTAAATAAGGAAAACACATTGAAAATCTAAATTTAATACATTATTTCCTTGTAATTGAATTCCATAATTTAAATTTTGAATTCTTTCCTTCATAATATTCCTAATATATGGACAAAATACAATTTAATCAATACAAAGTAAAGACCCACAAATTATACCAATACAAGCACCCACATTAAATTATATACCTGACATACAAGTAAATAGTGTTATTATTAGTAACGAAAAATACTTAGTGATAAATCATGTTACCTATAAGTTAGGAACATAAATTAGAAAACTACCTATAAGTCAGATAAAAAAATAGAAAACTACCTATATCTCCGGTACATAAAAAAGATAAATGGTAAATCGTATGTTACCTATAACTTAGATTCATAAACAAAAAGGCAAAAAAGTGTGGTACCTATATCTCATGTATTGTCACGCTCCGGACCCGGGGGTTAGGTGGAAATCCCGCGCCCGGTGGTGAGTAAAATAAAATAAAAAGAAATACAAAGAAGGGTTTAAAATAAACTTCTCTTATAAAATAGTTTCCAAAATCTTACAACTTTACAACTAATAAATAAAGCTCTATCACTCTCATCTAATTCATCCTCAACTGGTTTAGTCCTTGTCTTGCCCACTAATTCATCTGAAAAATTAAACAAGGTGAGGGATGAGCAACCACCGCTCAGTAGGGACGTGAGACCTTACCACAGTAGATTGATATAACTAAATTAAGTGTCATGCAATCACACAGCCAAATATCATATAATTAAGAATAATGCATGAATGAATGCTCTTCATCTAATCCCGTTAATTCATATAACTGGACAAGCAGACCTGCACGTCCCATACCATGCTTATACCACTTGGTCCCAGATGCCCATTTATATGAACTAACACCCATTTCAATCATCCCATAATTTCCCCTTTTGTTAGTCATCTTGTCTAACTCCCTTTCACCAGTCCCGAATCACCCAATAAAAACCATGTGCACTGTGGGATCCCTGAGACCTGGTACCTGCCAAGAGTTAGACTCAACTACACAAAAGACTATTTCCATCCCATTACCCTCTTTTCCATACTTTCCTTACTAACCCAAGAATTCCAGCCATCACCGATAACATGATAATTATGCATTTCAAATAATAATATCATGCATAATTTAGTGCTCACGAAATTTAATTACATCAATCCCCGTAAAGGTACCCCAAGAAATCTCTACCTCGATTCCAAAGCATTGCTCCAAGTTAAGAAAATACGAGCTAAGCCCCAAATCTCCTTGCTCCTATTTATAGTGGTTATAGGGATAGGATAAACTTCAATATTAAAAGGATAAGAACATCGAAGTTTATCCAAAAGATAAATATCCTAACAAGATAAGATCATCCAAGTTTATCCAAAAGATAAATATCTTAAAAAGATAATATCATCCAAATTTATCCAAATGATAAATATCTTAAAAAGATAATATCGTCCAAGTTTATCCAAATGATAAATATCTTCTTTTATCATTTTAAAATACGGGTCTTCACAATCTATCCCCCTTAAATGAAATTACGTCCTCGAAATTTAGTAGCACTTAATTAAGAAAATCTACTCCGAAAGATCTTTGTCATTAACTTCGTTAAATTCAAACCTATACGCTTACACTAATCTTCTACCACAGTTCCCAAGGGTATCTAATCCCTATGCTCTGATACCATTCTGTCACGCCCCGGACCCGGGGGTTAGGTGGAAATCCCGCGCCCGGTGGTGAGTAAAATAAAATAAAAAGAAATACAAAGAAGGGTTTAAAATAAACTTCTCTTATAAAATAGTTTCCAAAATCTTACAACTTTACAACTAATAAATAAAGCTCTATCACTCTCATCTAATTCATCCTCAACTGGTTTAGTCCTTGTCTTGCCCACTAATTCATCTGAAAAATTAAACAAGGTGAGGGATGAGCAACCACCGCTCAGTAGGGACGTGAGACCTTACCACAGTAGATTGATATAACTAAATTAAGTGTCATGCAATCACACAGCCAAATATCATATTAACAATATTAATGCATGAATGAATGCTTTTCATCTAATCCCGTTAATTCATATAACTGGACAAGCAGACCTGCACGTCCCACACCATGCTTATACCACTTGGTCCCGAATGCCCATTTATATGAACTAACACCCATTTCAATCATCCCATAATTTCCCCTTTTGTTAGTCATCTTGTCTAACTCCCTTTCGCCAGTCCCGAATCACCCAATAAAAATCATGTGCACTGTGGGATCCCTGAGACCTGGTACCTGCCAAGAGTTAGACTCAACTACACAAAAGACTATATCCTTCCCATTACCCTCTTTTCCATACTTTCTTTATCATTCCAAGAATTCCAACCATCACCGATAACGTATGACCATGATAATAAACAACACTTAAACACCCAGTATCAATAATAATCAAATAATAATATCATGCATAATATAGTGCTCACGAAATTTAATTAGATCAATCCCCGTAAAGGCACCCCAAGAAATCCCTACCTCGATTCCAAAGCATTGCTCCAAGTTAAGAAAATACGAGCTAAGCCCCAAATCTCCTTGCTCCTATTTATAGTGGTTATAGGGATAGGATAAACTTCAATATTAAAAGGATAAGAACATCGAAGTTTATCCAAAAGATAAATATCCTAACAAGATAAGATCATCCAAGTTTATCCAAAAGATAAATATCTTAAAAAGATAATATCATCCAAATTTATCCAAATGATAAATATCTTAAAAAGATAATATCGTCCAAGTTTATCCAAATGATAAATATCTTCTTTTATCATTTTAAAATACGGGTCTTCACAGAAAAATACTTAGTGATAAATCATGTTACCTATAAGTTAGGAACATAAATTAGAAAACTACCTATAAGTCAGATAAAAAAATAGAAAACTACCTATATCTCCGGTACATAAAAAAGATAAATGGTAAATCGTATGTTACCTATAACTTAGATTCATAAACAAAAAGGCAAAAAAGTGTGGTACCTATATCTCATGTATGTCAAAACACAGGTCAATTAATAACTTTTTTTTTGTTAAAGGAATATGTTACCTATAATTTAGATATATATATGAAGAAAAATATATCAAAAAATGTATTACGTACCTATGTCTCCGGTATACTATACATAAAAGAACAACTAAAAAGAACAAAATAACTGAACCTGATTAAAAGTCTATATCAACTTTTCTATATATATATATATATACCAAGCCCTTCAACAAGATTACAACAATAATCAACAACTCAATATATTAAATATGTGATGGAGAATTTTAATTGTGAGTTTCAACAAGATTGCTTTCACCCCCTCTTCATAAGGCCAAATCTACCAAGCCCTGTCGAAGGATTCCTAAGGTATAATTGCATTAATATCATCATACTTGAATTTGGATTGTGGACACTTGAATTCCTAAGGTATATATAGGTAATGCTAGATTTAAGGGAACGTAAAGAATGTCACCCAATGACTAGTTAAGAGGTATAGAACCCAGAACTCCAAAACAAATAAAACCTCAACTTCAAGTGGCTTTTCCTCCTGCTACCTACCAATACAGTTTCCTCGTATGTGGCATGAAGTTGCTGCCATCAACTAATTATTGTTGAATAGATCTTGCCTTACACAATAAAATGTTATACGCCTCACACTCATTGTAAATTGGTTTTAAATGGAATGCTCCAACTTTGTCGTCATATATATGGGAAAGACATTCTGAGTGCATTGAGAATGTTAATGAGTACATTTACACAATACAATATCCTAAACTTCTTCAGAAGCTACGATTTTTCTATGGTATGAACACTTACTAAGTACGAACACGAACGCTGACAAATGACCAATCAAATATTGTATTAGACCAAATATACGGTGTATTAAACCCTTAAAATGATACTACACTATTTAATGAACAAATGACAATGACCAATCGACGAGTCATAATGACCTAACGAAATGTGGTATTTTCAAGTATTTTACTGGAGTTCGTACTATATGCCAATTCGCATTGTATTTCACTAATTCAAACTTTCTATATTTTAGATATTCATTTAAAGATCATCTCTACAAAAACTCACTTGAATCAGATATCATTTGACCACTCGATTGTGTTATTAAAATTTTAGTACTTTCTTGAAGCACCGTGTTCATTGATTTTGTAGGATTCGACTGGATGTCGAAACGTTTTTCAATTTGTCCAATATTTTGCAAGAATGATCTATGAATGTAGACTTAGAAAATAGATGGTTTGGATCATTGAAACAAATTTCGTAGGATACCCTAAAGAGTGTCCCTCAAATAAAATTATTTAAGAGATCCCTTAATAGAAGGGAAATATATATGATCTTGTTAGTTGGATACAATTTGGATTGAAATATGAATATATTATATAATATTCAAATTCTAATCCAAAACAAGGGATGGATTGAAGATTATGGACCCACAAAATCCTCTCAAAAGGACCCCGCCAATTACTTCCATCGCATTATTGTTGTAGAATTGTTTTAGGCGTTTCCAGTCGCAGTCTATGGCTTTTCCGCCAGACTCAGTACCTTTCCTTTTCTTTCAACCTCATCCTCCATCTCTAGCTATATTATTTTCGACTCAATATTCATTGCTTTCTTTTTTATAACCGCGCAGTCTCCCATTATTGACATGTTTACTTACTTAGAATGGGAGAAGTAAGGAATCAGGGAAGTCGGTAATCATTCCCACCAAAATCAGGAATCAGATTAACTAGGGGAGTAACTAATTGTATGGGGAATGATTACCAATTTTGGGGTGGAGTGGAGTCCAAGTCCACTTACTTTTTATTCCTTGGTGAGTAAGTAAACACAGAGGAAATAAAGAATCGAAATAATTCTCTTTCTCCCCATTCTCATTACTGATAAGTAAACATATTCTATACATAGTGAGCAATATTTGATATCAATCCCAATAGCACCTTCCTTTTTTGGTTTTTTGGTTTTTTTTTTCTTTAGCATCACATAGCTTGCTTAACCAATTAGTAACAAAGTAACACGTATACCAGCCCACAATTATAAAATTTTAAAAAGAAAAAGTAATAAAGCAAAAGTAGAATAACAAGTTAAAAGAAGCATCAAGAAAAAGTAATAAAGCAAAAGTAGAGTAACACGTATACCAGCCCACAATTATAAAATCTTCCTAGCAATATGTTCTTATCTATTGTTAACTTGGAGTGCAAGGCCATATTGACAAATTACTTGGACAGTAAGTTTATATCAACCGCCAATACACCCTCCAATAGGAAATGACATACTATCGACTTGTTCCTTGTATATATATAGGAAGTTAAGTTGCACAAATAAATGAAAACACACAAAAACCTTGTGTACTAATTGAGGTTGCACACTGCATGCATTGCATGCAAAGTAAGAGTTCTTGGGAGAGAGAGAAAGAGGAAAAAGATAAAGGAAGAAAGAAAGCTAGTGGTGATATAGTTCCTGGAGGAGTAGAGGTCCCAACTTGTGCATTTTCTTAACTTGGAATAAGCTTTGAAAACGGGGTAGGGATTTCTTCGGGTGCCTTTACGGGAATTGATCTAATTAAATTTCATGAGCACTATATTATGCATGCTATTATTATTATTGATATTGGATGTTGAAGTGTTGTTAATTATCTATATTATTTTATTAATATTGACATGATCATATGTTATCGGTGATGGTTGGAATTTTTGGGTTGATGGAAAATAGGGTAATGGAAATAGTCTTTTGTGTAGTTGAGTCTAACTCTCGGCAGGTACCAGGTCTCAGGGATCCCACAGTGCACATGGTTTTTATTGGGTGATTCGAGACTGGCGACAGAGAGTTAGACAAGATGACTAACAAAAGGGGAATTGTGGGATGATTGAAATGGGTGTTAGTTCATATGAATGGGCATTCGGGACTAAGTGGTATAAGCATGGTATGGGACGTGCAGGTCTGCTTGTCCAGTTATATGAATTAACGGGATTAGATGAAGAGCATTCATGCATTAATATTATTAATTTGATATTTCGTTGTGTGATTACATGTCACTTAATTTAGTTATATCAATCTGCTGTGGTAAGGTCTTATGTCCCTATTGAGCGGTGGTTGCACACCCCTCACCCTGTTTAATTTTTCAGATGAATTAGTGGGCAAGACAAGGACTAAACCGTCTCAGGCTGAATTAGATGAGAGTGATTGAGCTTTATTTATTTATTTTAAAGTTGTAAAGATTTTGGGATCTATTTTTATAAGAAAAAGTTTTATTTTATGCTTCTGCTTCTTTTTATTTATTTTATTTTATTTTATTTTTATATTTTATTTTACTCACGCACCGGGCGCGGGGTTTCCACCTACCCCAGGTCCGGGGCGTGACATTGCTTAATCAATTAGTAACAAAGTAACACGTATACCAGCCCACAGTTATAACATTTTAAAAAGAAAAAGTAATCAAGCAAAAGTAGAATAACAAGTTAAAAGAAGCATCAAGTAAATTGAATGTCGTGCCCCACATCAATAACTCTACACCAACAATTATAATGTTTTAAAACACATTCTAAGACAATAATAATACACACACATATATATATATATATATATATATTAAAACGAATCCTCTTATTTAATTCAACATATATAAAAATATAAAAATAATTAATAAAATAAAATGCTTATAATTACTGGAATAGTACTATAAACGTAAAACAATATATATATATATATCCAAGATAACTACTTATATATAATAATGTTTATTCCTCTTTAATAAATATTTTTAAAATTTTTAAATGCGGACTCTCACATTGAACTTGTTAATAATTATAAGGATCATGCATGAATCACGTTTTGGTACGACATGAGAAATTATAAATAAAAACATGACACACACACTGTTTAGCATACACACTTTTATTTCAAGGATGTTAACTTCTTCTGGAAAAACACCAACAAAGGAGGAAGAACAGGGAACCTTCTAACTGAGAGCTACAGCTCCATTCTTATTCTAACAGGAAACCTTACAACACCTAAGTTTCTTTTTAATGTATTTCCAACCTTTGAAAAATACTTCATAAAAAGGATTACGGTTGAGCCCAAACACAGAGAAAGGAAGAATGGCAACAACAACGTAAATGAGGGAAATTGACCATATCTTTTGATGATGAATCAAGCGCACAATAGTAGCAGCGAAGGAGAGCATGGACACTAGCAGCGAGCAGAAGAGAAGGAGGAACCCTAAATTCAGCTTGAAGGGAAGAGAATGTTGAAAGTTTTTGTACTCAAATGGAGACCTCGTGATATTGAGAAACGTGCCCAAAGAAGTCAATGAGAAGATAAGCGAGACAGTGTTCGAAATGGTGAATGCTTTGAAGAAAGGAGAGTGCCAGAGATTAGGAAGCCCGTTCTGATTAGTACCCCCGGGAACCGTGTACTCAGCTGCATAGGCCACGGTGGCCACCAAAGCCGCCACGACCGAGCCTGACTGAGCAGTTTCTTTCATCCATACTTTTGCTGACTGAAGAAGCTTTGCATGCTGCCTAGAAAAGAGCTCATCCGCTGTTACACCCTTCTTGTTGCGGTGCATGGTGTAATTAACTGGGATTATCTTTTGCACACGCTGCCCACAAATGGAAAAAACATTGTTACCATTTCGTACTACTATAACTAGTTTCATACTTAATATGAGTAGCTCTCAGCCAGTACAGTGATATTTCTCTTGCCAATTAATGTTAGAAGATGTTTCCCTTGTCAAAAAAGAACTTCATACCTTTGAAGAAAAAAAAACAAAATCATTAGTCACTAAAGTGTTGGAAGGGAGAGAGGTTTTCTCTCACACACACTATGATGTCATGGGGGTTTGAACACTTGAAACCACTGGTCCTAGTAGATGAACTTCAATTGACTGAAATATAGGGTAATTAAAATTAGGGTTAAGGCTTGTATATATCACTCACCGCCATCCACTGCAATTCTTCTTGCAACTGAAATGCAGGACCATATGTACCTTTAGCGTCCACAGAATAATAGCTCGTATCTGTGTAATAGCTCATATCTGCAGCGTGGTGCAATATGGAGTTCCCATCGCTATCAATCGTGTCAGCCAGCCTTGAGGTTATAAATTTGTTCTTCTTTACAATCTTAAAGATGGCCAACCGACGATACTTAATGGCCATGTGCAAAATGTTTTGTTGATGCTTGATATCGTGCGCCTCAACTGCTTGAGGATGACACTTCAAAATCTTTTCCACAATTTGTGATATTCCAGTTCTAGTTGCTATAAACAATGGAATATACTCATAAGTAGATTTGGTTTCTTTTCGGTTGGCTTTTTTTTTTTCCTGTGGAATATTTGGTTTTGACACCAGAGAAAATGTATTGATTACTTCTTCTAGTTCAAATTTCGCCCATGAATAGTCCTTCTTGACGAGAAAATCAGTGAGTTCCAATAGTACGTTTTGATTTTGCATTTCCTCGCCCATAATACAGATTGGTGCCCATCGTATAGTAGTTCTTCTGATCATTTCTATTCATGATATTGAATTAATATGAAGAGAAGAAAGAAAAAAAAAAAGTAAATGCAAATCAACTGTATAAAATTAAACAAATGAATAAAATGAAACCACAGGAATTAATAATGAAAACGAACCTTAATTAAGCAATTGTACAAAATTTTATTGTCATTCTTAAGCTTGGGTAAGGCCTAAATATTTTTACCTGGCTGCTAGTTTGGTTTTTTTTAATTTTTATTTTAATTCTCTAACTCTTATATATATAGTTATTCTCCTATGCAGGAAGGGGTAGTAAAAAATACATGGACGTTTTTACCATGTGGATGTCATTGTAAACAAGGAAGAAAATACATGAAGTCCGCCTGGAAATAAATAAATAAATATATATATTTGCAGTACTTACGTTATGATTAATTAAATTGTAAACATATGTACATTGGTAGGCATATTGATATACTAACTTAATTATGAACATATGTGTAGGTATATTCGAGTATGTATATGATCATATATAATTTACTATATTAGAATACATATCTATGAATAAATTAGGTACCAGGTTTAACGAAAAAGTTTCTTAACTATAATAATAACGGAAAACATAACGTTTTTTTATAGAACAAATAAGTTGTTTTTAAGATTTTATGCAAGGATGACAATATATATATACAAACAAACACACACACTTTGAAAGTTTGATTAATTACTCATAATCTTGTTTGAAAAAGTAGATTGGGAAGGCTGATTAAATCTGCTCTCCAAGTCATCGTTTTGATTTGCTGGGTCCTGATCAATGTTATCATCCTTACAAAGGCCTGAATGTATAATAATGGGAGCACAGAAATCAGCATTATCATCATCATTAGAAAGGCTAATTGCATAAAATAAAGGGAGATTCACTATTATACCCAATATGGGAGCTCAAATTATTAAAAAAAAAACCATATATGAAATTGACTTTAGAAACACACCCAAAGCCTATTTACAACATAACAAAAAGGCTTTTAACTTCTTTTAAATTACAAAACTGCTATTGATTTCTTTAAACAAAGCCAACCTCAAAACCTCATAAAAAGTCCCAAAACACTCAATAGGGCATCAAAGTAATTTAATAATCAAAATTAAATTCAATAGGGCCAGCTGTCATTTTTTGGGTTTTTTTTTTGGTTTTGTTAATAGAAATTAAATGGTGTAGGGTTTATCTATATTATTAGTGCTAAGAATGGGTATATGACTAAATATCTTTAAAATAAACTTAGTACGTAACCTACCCTAATTAACTAAACCCTAGCACTTCTAAACCAAACCGGCATATATTTAGCCCAATCTCACGACAAGTAAATTTAATTTATATCTAGCCCTCCCCTCCCTATTGAAAATTTCTGACTTTGCCATTAAAAAATAGGCTGACTCATCAGCATAGTCATTGATAAATTTTTTGAGTTTATATCTAATTTTAGCAGTGCCCGTAGTGTATAAGCAGTAGAGAGAGTAGATGGTACATATATGACGGTGCAGCTTAATCCATATGCTTTCGCGAAATTTGGGTTTGAAGGCAGATGGCATTTGGGCTAGCAATTGAAGACTTGTGAGTCCATTCTTTTCCTTTCTCTTCGCAAGACCTGGGTACCTCGTTACTAACCAAAGAGCAGTCTCTGCATTGCAATTTGCATTGAAGGAAAACCATGGATGCATGTTAATCATAATATATAATAAAGTCAAATATAATAGTTAGACTAATGCTATTCTATCATTCAGATGTCCGCACGTTATTATTGTGCAGATGTTATTATAAACAGAGAGGAAAACAAAGAGAAGCAGCATAAAATACATGGCGTCAACACAATAATAACATCCAAACGTCCGCATATATATTGTCAAGTTGGTTTTGGAGAGAAAGATAGGGAGAAAGAGAGACCAAAATGTTGGCCAAGTACTGCGATATGAAGAATGGATACTTGATCTTTTCTTTGGAAGTGCTGCTCTATTTTATCGTCGTCCACTTGGTTAGCCAAATATTGGACCAAGTCTGTGCGACCAAAAGCAGCAGCCCTGTAGAGTGGGGTTTCTCCTAAGTGGTTCTTAATCTCCACCAACACCGGACTTGCATAACTACTTTCCACGTTATGATCAAAAGAATACTCCACCAACAGCTGTGCTGCGTCCAAATTTCCAGACGCAGCTACCTCATGAAGCGGAGTGTTGCCGCGGTTGTTCGCCACTATCAATGCATCCCTGTCTTCTATCTGTGAAATCAAAAACTGAAGCACGTCTTTGCGTCCAGCCAAGCCTGCCACTTGAAGTACAGTATCGTACTTCGTTGTCATTTGCCCAAATACTTCGAACACATGATCCTTGTAGAATCGTTTTAGGCTTTCCCACCGGCCGTTCATGGCCCATTCATATTGCTCTCTCGCTCGACTCAGTTCCTCTCCTATTATTTCAACCTCGTCTATCTCCTCCATCTCCAAATTTTTCCACTCAACTCAATTGATAATAGCCGCCCGCGCCCTCTCCCAGTCTATATATATTTGTTTCTTTTTCTTTTTTTAGCATCACATCTTATATATACCTTGCTTAATTAATACGTAACAAAAGTAAGACGTATACTAACTTATAACATTTAAAAAACAGAAAAAGTAACAAAGCAAAAGTACAATAACAAGTACTAAAACCGCATCAAATAAATTAAACTTGCTGTTAAAGGGATCAGCCAATACATGAATCACGTTTTGTTACGACTTAGGCATAAGTATTAGATACAGAGGGGAGCTTCTATTACCTTTTTTTTTAAATAATTTTTTTTTTGTTTTAATTTTTGTTTTGTTTTAATATATATATATATATATATATAAATTCAGTACAAGCAATAGTCTAAACTCACACATACAACTAAAAATGTCATGGAGGTTCGAACTTGAGACATATGATCTGTAAACCAAGGTCATTTTCCACTGGGTTAGACCTCGTTGGCTTCTATAACGCAAATCATGTCATCTCGTACGAAAGAAATTATAGAATATTATGGCAAGTCATGTAATTAATCTACCACATCATATTTTTCTTAATTACTCATTATTTTGTCTGGAAAAGTAAAAAGAATATCACCAAGAAAAACAACAGAATAGACCGCCCACCAAGCTTTGATCCAAACCTTTAAACCCATATATGCCACAGAAATAGTTCTGCTTTATAGTCATAAAATTTTAAAAAGAAAAAGTAATATCTCGTACATTCATAGATCTGTGAGTTGTAGAATCAGATGTGGTGGTTTCTTTGGAATTTTAGTTTTTCTAGCTATCTATTTTTTTCCTTTCTTGCTTCTGAAACTTCAATTTTCATTAAAATCTTGTAAAGGAAGAATCATGTTCTTTGATATTCTTCTATCATTGCATAAATAACCAAGAATTGACATTCTTTGATTTGGTGAGTTTTGTTATATATTAATGTAAGATGAAAAACGCTTTGATTTGTTTGTGTTTTTATAATGCCATTTTAATTTTGTGTCGCACAAAATGTGTGAGATGACAGCAACATCTATCTTTTCTATTGGAATCACATGTTCCCTGGGTCATAAGTGTTAGATTTCTATAGTGTTCATGATCTTTCACACAACCTAAAATACATAGAAGACATACATGGCAACATCTTCCTTAAGTACACGATCTCAGAACTCATTCAATCGCAGTAGCGGCAACATGAGCAAAAGGCATGAACGGCTTAAGACTTCTACTCTCTCTCATAAACTATTTCAGCTCTCTTTTTATGATGAGATTAAGGTTAGAGAATATGTCTGATGAGAGCAGGGTCTTAAGCTTATATAGGGCTAGGTCAAGTTGTCTCTACTACTCATTAGAACAATTCCAACAACATAGTCTCTACTTTGGATCGTTGGAAAAAAATTCGTAAGTTACCCTAAAGGATGTCCCTCAAATAAAATTATTTAAGAGATCCCTTAATTGAAGGGAAATATATATAAGGTCTTGTTAGTTGATACAATTTGGATTGAAATATGAATATATTATATAATATTCAAAATCTAATCCAAAACAAGGGATGGATTGATGATTATGGACCCACAAAATCCTCTCAATAGCTTTAGGCGTTTCCAGTCGCGGTCTATGGCTTTTTCGCCAGACTCAGTACCTTTCCTTTTCTTTCAACCTCATCCTCCATCTCTAGCTATATTATTTTCGACTCAATTCATTGCTTTCTTTCTTATAACCACACAGTCTCCCATTATTAGCATGTTTACTTACTTAGAATGGGAGAAGTAAGGAATCGGGGAAGTCAGTAATCATTCCCACCAAAATCAGGAATCAGATTAATTAGGGGAGTAATAGATTGTATGGGAATGATTACCAATTTTGAGGTGGAGTCCACATACTTTTTATTCCCTGGTGAGTAAGTAAACACAGAGGAAACAAAGAATCGAAATAATTCTCTTTCTTCCCATTCTCATTATTGATAAGTAAACATATTCTATATGTAGTGAGCAATATTTGATATCAATCCCAATATCACCTTCCTTTTTATGTTCTTTTTTTTTTTCTTTAGCATCACATACCTTGCTTAATCAATTAGTAACAAAGTAACACGTATACCAGCCCACGGTTATAAAATTTTAAAAAGAAAAAGTAATAAAGCAAAAGTAGAATAACAAGTTAAAAGAAGCATCAAGTAAATTGAACTTGTTAATAATTATAAGGATCATGCATGAATCACGTTTTGGTACGACTTGAGAAATTATAAATAAAAGCATGACACAAACACTGTTTAGCATACACACTTTTATTTCAAGGATGTTAACTTCTTCTGGAAAATATAGGGCTTATCCAATATAGATCCCTACATTTTCTATCTCCTAGACATATACCCATCACTCTATAAATCTATGTGTAAAACCCAATTTCAAATTTAAATGACCAGTAGGATATAAGAGGTCGTAGTATTCCTATGTTTTTACATTGTTGCCACCAAACTCCATATTTTATTTATAATTTGTTTCAAGCATTTCATTAATTGCCATAATTGTAATTCATACTCGTTATTAATAACATATCAATCAACCCATTTCTTTTCATTGTCATTCCCTCTCACATATCGCCCCCTAAAATTGCAACCAAAAAATATCTGTAAACCAAAATAACTGACTTAGTAATTGAAATTTCCGTACATTTTTCATAAATTAAAAATAGGTACATAATAATTTATAGAAAATATAGGTACATTATTTACCCATAGGTAAATTATTTTACAATGTACCTATAAATGTGTATAGGTACATTATTTGGAGAGGAAAAATAGGTTCATTTAAAAAAATACGTACATTGTTTTACTAGGTCATTATTAGAGGAAAAAAAAAAATAGGTACAATATTTGGAGAGAAAAAATAGGTTCATTTTTTTAAAAAAAATTGTTTTTCATAAAACAAATAATAGGTACTTTATTCAGAGAAAAAATGTTACATAGAGAAAAAAAAAAAAGGTACATTATTTAGAGAAAAAATAGTTTCATTTAAAAAAAAATGTTTTTCATAAAACAAACAATAAATAGATTATCAAAATATTTTTCAACATAATTAGAATGTACACTATTATTCATAAAACTATAGTAAAATAAAATAGATTACTAGGAGTATGATTCATAAAAGGAAAACAACAACAAAAATTTATTAAATCAACCAAAACGTTACTAATACATTAATGTTAAATTTAATATTTAATTTCAAATAAGTTTCTAAATTAATTCCTACATCCATTACAACTATTTAAAGATCTTTCCAAATTTAACGTGTGTCATTAGTTATAACCCCACATAACACTTAACTTGTAAATAGGGTTAGTTTTGGAATCCGAAAAATAGAATAAATCAGATTTTAAGGATCATGCATGAATCACGTTTTGGTACGACTTGAGAAATTATAAATAAAAGCATGACACAAACACTGTTTAGCATACACACTTTTATTTCAAGGATGTTAACTTCTTCTGGAAAATACATAAAAGGAAGGGGAAAAACACCGACAAAGGAGGAAGAACAGGGAACCTTCTAACTGAGAGCTACAGCTCCATTCTTATTCTAACGTACGTCCTCTTACAGAGGGCAAATCATTTAAGAGTTATTTTTGGTCAACACCGTAAGTTTCTTTTTAATATATTTCAAACCTTTGAAAAATACTTGATAAAAACGATTATGGTTGAGCCCAAACGCAGAGAAAGGAAGAATGGCAACAACAACGTAAATGAGGGAAATTGACCATATCTTTTGATGATGAATCAAGAGCACAATAGTAGCAGCGAAGGAGAGCATGGACACTAGCAGCGAGCAGAAGAGAAGGAGGAACCCTAAATTCAGCTTGAAGGGAAGAGAGTGGTGAAAGTTTTTTTACTCAAATGGAGACCTCATGATATTGAGAAACGTGCCCAAAGAAGTCAATGACAAGATAAGCGAGACAGTGTTCGAAATGGCCAATGCTTTGAAGAAAGGAGAGTGCTGGAGATTAGGAAGCCCGTTCTGATTAGTACCCCCGGGAACCGTGTACTCAGCTGCATAGGCCACGGTGGCCACCAAAGCAGCCACGACCGAGCCTGACTGAGCAGTTTCTTTCATCCATACTTTTGCTGACTGAAGAAGCTCTGCATGCTGCTTAGAAAAGAGCTCATCCGCTGTCACACCCTTCTTGTTGCGGTGCAGTGTGTAATTAAGTGGGATTATCTTTTGCACACGCTGCCCACAAATGGAAAAAACATTGTTACCATTTCGTACTACTATAACTAGTTTCATACTTAATATAAGTAGCTCTCAGCCAGTACAGTGATATTTCTCTTGGCAATTAATGTTAGAAGATGTTTCCCTTGTCAAAAAAATACTTCATACCTTTGAAGAAAAAAATCAAAATAATTAGTCACTAAAGTGTAGGAAGGGAAGAGAGGTTTTCACACACACACACTATGATGTCGTGGGGTTTGAACACAACCACTGGTCTACAAATCAATGCTCTTTTTCATCAAGATAAGGGAATCACCATTTAAAATCTGTATTTTTAATGCATGCATGCATGTCCTAGTAGATGAACTTCAATTGACTTAAATATAGGGTAATTAAAATTAGGGTTAAGGCTTATATATATCACTCACCGCCATCCATTGCAATTCTTCTTGCAACTGAAATGCAGGACCATATGTGTAACATCCCGGTCCTAAAAAGAAGTAAAATAATTAATTTAAGAGGAAATAAATTGGGGTAAACAATAAAATAAAATGATTTGAATTAATTAAGGTTTTTTGAAAATTTAAAATATTATTTAATTTAAAAAGGGGCAAAAAGGTCATTTTAAGTTCGGGAAGGAATTTGGGAATTTCGACTGTACCGGTGCGGAGAGCATGTCGAAACGAGTCCGTAGACACGTAGTGGGCTCGGATCGGAGTTATAACGAGAAAAGTATGATCTAAATACTTGGAGG